GGACATATTTATAATAGTAGATAGTAAGGAGAACTTAGGCGACAGTCCTAACCCAAATAATTGGGTCGGTCGGCCCCCCTGCCTCCCTCCCTGAACCAGTCCAGCCTTCCCAGTTGGTTTGGCCCCGATTCAGTAGCGCCGCCTCAACCTTATATTGAAAAATATTGTCCGGCTCAAACACATCATTAGCTATAGTCTTTGGCTTAATCATTGTTGATATCTTAATCATCAGAAAGAAGAGTATCATCATAAACATTTTTATAAGGACCATTATTATAAAAGAATGAACATTAAATGCAAGTGCTGAACTAGAAATGCTCAAAGATATGTAGAGTTATAGGTATTTGTGGAGCTAATATAACAGATTGCATAAAATTTAGAAAAGATACATATTTGAGTTAGATTGTTGCAAGACTTATTTCTACTCCATTAATACACATCAAGGAATTACCATAAGATGTACCATCATAACTATGTGAACAATATGAATCATAGTCATTATTATATGAACTAAAAAGATTTGAAAGGATAAGATACCTATCAACAAGAATAATATTTTATATGATGCAAAATAATCGTGATTTTCATAATATGCTAGCACTCTGTCATAATAATATGACAGTATAATTAGATAGGTGGAGCTTGATGAGTACACATGCGTGCAAAAATGTGAGGAATGTAACAATTAGGCTTGCGGGACTAGAGTCAAGCATCAGAATGATTATAAGTGGCTTGATTTCATGGGTAATAGTACAATTATATTGCGAAGACATGAGATGGTGGCTAACTAAACAAAATTCAATTAAAAAGAAAAGAATTTGATTGAATCTTGCTCCCACACTAATTGAAGGAGTTGAGGAGAGAAAGAAACTCTACAAAAACAACTTAATTCTAGCAGCACTTAATTGGCCAAATAACTAACTCACATGCATTCAATTATCGATTTTCAACCAAAAATTATCCTCCAATTACAAGACATTAATCCTCATCAAGTAAAGGCCAAATTTTAATTTTGCTATAGATTTGTGAAATGACAAATGAATTAACATTATAAACAACTATGAAGTAACCAATGAGCTCCATATGATGATATAACAAAAAGGATCTGCAATAAATTTATCTTTCAAAATCATTGATTAATAGCTTATAATGAATAATGAATAACCAAATTAAGACGCGGAGCCAGGAGAGCTGATCGACTCTTCCACGAGAGACTGCCGCCTCCTTTCCCTAGAGGGACCTAATCCTAATTATCTAAGGCTTGTGATGCAAGGCTCCTTGAGGGGCTGAACCGGTTGGAGAGCACTAAACCGGTTCAGCCAGATAGTTATAAGGGCTGGTCGGTCCATGTTATGGGCTTAGCTTTGTCGCCCAAGAGAAGGGACATCCCCCTCCTAGTTATCTACTATATATAGGTTATTTTATTTCATTAGGGTTCAGCTTTGGTATATTTTCTGTCAGGACAATCGTCAGCCTCCCTGCAATATTTTCCCTCTTAAGGTTGAATCCAAAAACAAATGGTGCTCTGGTAGTATCTCGCTTTGGGGTGGCAATTTTTTTTCGCATATCTCCTCCACCTAATCCTTCCTGCTTGTTTTCGTAAGCCCCCTCCCACTTACCTGCTTGCTGCCCTTTCTTCGGCATATCCACCTTGCTAGTGTCGCACCTCTAGTCCCTTGCAAGTGACTACAGCCTCCCTGCATCGTCCATTGTTCCATCCCCCCTCCTCGACTGCTAATTGACACAAATCCTTACTGTCGATTGCTGCAAATCCCTCCCACCCCTTGCTTACTACCGCACCTCTTCCCAGACCACCTGCTTGCCACAACTCACTCCCTATTCTCCCTATTTGTCGTCCAGCCGCCCGCATCCCTGTTACCTACTAGCATTCACCCTCCTACCACCTCCAACTCCACATTTCCACTATGCCTACCACAACCCACCACTTCGTTCTAGCCCTAGAGTGTCATTTTATGTTTATGTTGTTATTTTTCTGTTGTCAAGAGTCTTTGTTTGTAACCCCATTGAATTTCAGCAATAATAATTATCAATTCTACTGTGGTTTAGGTTAACTCCGGTATCAATTGGTATCAGAGCTAACCTAAACCTAATTCTATCATAGGATTTCCTAGCATCTGTCATACCCAAACCATCTCCACTTCAAAAATTTGTTTCCTACCCTCAAATACCTTCTTCCAATTCCACAAACCCAAACTCTAACCATGTCACCAAGGAGAAACATGCCCTAGCCTACCCGGAAAGAAATACAACGAGAAATCAGTCGACAACAACAGAGGCTCACAAAGATTGATGTGGGACTCGGAGGGAAACTGCCCTCTATTGCGATAGAGAGATTCAAAGAGGAGAAAGAACGAGAATTGGAATCCCTTCCATGGGGAGGGCTTCAGATGAGGAAGGCAAGACATAACGTTTTAGAATTAAGTATCAGAGGAGGCCACATAAAAAAGACACATAGATTTTGAAATAAAGGTGGACCTATCGGAGTTTGACAGAGGTATAGAGCCCAATGATTTCATTAAATTGATACAATCAAGTGAGATGATCTTCGAGAACAAAGAAGGCTAGAGGATAAAATGATGAAGCTTGTAACCATCAAGTTGAAAATGAGTGCTTCCTTGTGGTGGAAAAATTTGCAGAGGCAAAGAAAGAGAGAGGGTGGTGACAAAATCACCAAATAGGAGAAGATGAGGAAGGAGATGCAGAGAAAATATCCACCCTCATTGCCCCCAATATATGTTTATGAGACTCCACCTATAATAGAGAGACCTGTGGGAGGAGGATTTCAAGATACAATTCGATCATTACCCCCAGTACAGGGATCCCAACGTCAGCTTGGCTATTAGTACAATAGACTCTCCCACAAAAGAATTACAAGAATCGTCGACAATTTTAATAGTATCTTGCAAGGAGCACAGGGAATATGTCGCGAAAAAGGAGAACACATGATCATGTCGTCTGTGGCATATGAATCAACAATCCATGAACTAGAAGAAGCAAAGCCAACAAGTGTCATAAAAATGTTACACTGACGAACATGAGAGGTCGACAGGCCGAAGGAGAATTGACTAGATCCAAGCAGGTTAATCAGTTGTTCCATATGATTCTTAATTGTGTCCGGTGAGTTTAGAGTGGTCCAAGTAGGGGTTGGTTGAGTTGTTGTGGATTCTGAGGTCGTAGCGAGGCCTTTAGCAGCAAAAGACCTGGTTGAAGACTTCATGGAATCCCTAACACTTGTGGCAAGTATGGTGTTGTTTGTGGCATAAATCACATCTGAAGTGATTGGCCCGCGATGGCGTGGTAGAGTGAGTGGTATAGAGATTAAAGTTGACAGCTCGACAAAGCGGTTAAGTTGTCGAGCATGACAAATCTCCGGGTTTCTTCGCGACGCACCTTGACAAATACTGCCCGATTTGAAGGAAAAGAATCATGACCCAATATACGATCGTGGACTTCATCAAGATTCTTATTCAGATACCCCAAAAATTGGAATGCCAGATCCTTTTCCAAAGTTTTCTGGAAGAGAGAAAGATCCGTGAAAGAGTCTCATGTGTAGTCATATAGTAAACATCACATTTCATCCATAAAGAAACCAAGTCATTATAGTTCTAAGTCATTGTCTTTGAAACCTTTTTAGCCTCGCGATCTTATTAGAAACTTCATAGAGTTGTCCTGAATTTCGTTAGTCCAAGTAGGAATCGCAACGAAAATTTAGATGGCACTTGCAGATGGAAGAAACATGTAAGAAACGGAGCCATGACACAACCATGGAGTTTTCTACTTCCCACGCAATATATATCGGGTCAGTGTTCGGAGGTTCACGAATCCTTTCCGTGAGGTGATTGAATTTATCTTGGCCTTTGACTAACAACAAAAAGACTTGAAATCATTGGATAAAATTGGAGTCGTTGAGTTTATGAGTGGTAATAGGGAAATTTATGTGCTTTTCAGGTCATCTGGTCTGCGGAAGGATTGAGGTAGATGTCAATTCTATGGTGGATTCAAGGATAGATAACATCAGACGAAGATCGGTGGTGAAGAAATCAGTCGTGGCTCTAATGAAGCCAAAGAGAGGCTTGGATGCCTGGAGATGGAAGAGTTTGGTGATTCTTGGGGGAGGTCCGACAGCTCGAGGTAGGTGCCCTGGCTCAGGAAGGCCTGTAGGGAGAAAAACTTGATGAAGGAAGGGGGTGACCTAGCTACAGGAAGGAGTTGAGGGGGCTCTGCATGGAGAAGATCTCACGGGATGGAGGCCTGCAGGTGAGCTTTCACAGGAGAACGGGATGCCTGTAGGTAGATTGCACGGGAGAAGGGTCTACAGGAAAAATTCACAGGAAGGGCCCTGCAGGGAGGAGTTTTCTGATAGAGGGACTTGTAGGAAAAATTTTCAGGCCGACTAGGGTAGGATCACTTTGATAGCATGCAATTTTGGAGAATTGAGCAAGATTGCTTTATTCATATCACAGGGGGTATAAAAACAGAATACAAGAGTTATAAAATAGGAAAGACATGACACCCAAATCTCTAAGATTAAATTACGTCCAAATAACTACCTAGAGATAAAAGAAAAACTATAAACTAAGAAAAACATAAACAAGTAAATACAGAAAATAGCAAATATCAGGAAATGAAAGAGATTAACACTAATAACTTCTAACACTATTCATAGGTTTTAATGATTATGTTCTTCTTTCTTTCGAATAAGTCCACAGCAACTATTTTTTATTTGCGCCCATCCAATTTTGTTTCGACTCAATTGATTAACTCTGTAAAATCAACAAAATAGAAAAAAATAAATAATTAAAAAAAGTAACAATAAAATATTGCTACAATCAGATAATAATGACCTTAAGACAATCTCTCTGATAAAGTAACATGTATCTGCAATAATCAAGGTGCTTAGGTATGAAAAACTTGAGTTCAGAATCTATGAATTGAGATAACTCCGTAAAGTCTTGAGTGGGAGGGATTATATATAAAACCTTATCCTCCTCCAAACGCTGACGTATCTTCTCCCTTGCTCTTTTTTCCTCTTCCTTCTCTGCCTTTCGCAATTCTATTATTCTGTCAAACAAAAGGAAGAGCATTTGCATAAACAGAACCAGAAATGTTGTTAATTAAATGTCAGTTGGCAAAAAAATTATGGGAAACTTACATACAGAGCACACAATTCTTATGTATTTACATATCTCACACCTAAATTTTGATATTTACATACATAGCACTTTTGGCATGTTAAACCTACGCCTGAAAAGATTTCACTTCTAAAAAGTCATAATAAGGCCAATTTCATATGATATTAAAAATTTGTATGTGTATAAATATGAAAGTTTAGGTGTGAGATATGTAATTACATAAGGATTGTGTGCTACATATGTAAATGCCCCAAAAAATATCTAAGTGGCGATGTGATGAAAAACCTTTTTCTTTCATTGTCTTCCTCTATTCGCTTAGCAGCTAGAAGCTCTTTGCCTACACGTATTCTATCCTGCAGCAAACACATAATACTAGGTCAAAAAGATTAAAGAAACTGGTCTCTTCAGTTGTCCTTATTGTCTAAGTCGTCAAATTTTGAAGTAATGCTCTTAAAGAACCAAACTGAGCATAGATTTTTTTTTTTTTTTAAACATTTGTCACAGCTAACCTAATGCACCACAATAGAGATTCAGCTATAACATTTAACACAAGAAAACGGAATTCTAGCTGAAGCTAAATTAATTAACAATGAGAGATCTCAATAATTTTTAAACTTTATTGGAACTTCGATACATTAAATAGATCAGTGTGGATTTAGCTATGCAGGCGATGAGGTACTTTTCTATACCATCAATCTCAACGCATGTTTCCTACCAGATCTCTTTGGATGGGAAGGATTAGTTATAAATTTGCTTCAATTATGACAAACAGCCAGTGGCATCAGTTAAGAGAAAATTAGCATTTCCACCAGTATCGCTTGAAAGAATTTTGATGCTGAAAAAAAATAACAAATAAGGAGAAGACAAAACACGAAAGATATATAATTTATTGATATCAGTGAACTGTAAAGAAAATGTTATGGGATAACCTAAGCAGTTAAAACTGAATAAAATAACACCAAATCCGTCATCATAAACACAACCAATGATATTAGACAAAAAAAAAATCCATTGGAAATTGGCATTAACGGTTTCAAAATTCTTTGACCAATATATTATTGGCAGCCAAAGGGATTTGTTTCTAAATAAGATTTTAACCTCAAATACCAAGGATAAATGATAAGTTCACTCAAAATAACATAAGTCTATGGCTAGGGGTTTTATTTTTAGTAAACCTTTGCAACAGGATGAAACTATTGCTCGACCCTCTAGAACATTAGTAGCTAGGCCTCTAGTTAAAATAGATCTTACCGTTCTGCTAGATAAGGAGGTGTATATTAGTTCATTTTCTTATGCCTATTGGCAGAATATTAAATTTGAAGGCATACGATCCTATTGCTCATGAAAATATTTTTATTACAATCTTCAAAAGTTTCAAGGCTCGCCCAAAAGTTATAAATCAACTGTTATTTATACTTAAAATCAGGTACAAAGAAATCAAACAAATGATCAAAATCTACCTTCAAACACGATGGTTGTGATTCCTCCTACTTCAGTCAAGCTTGCACATAAAATTAGAAACCAACTCTAGTTTTATCATGGAATCAAAGCCAATTCTCTTGTTATCATAAGACCCAAGATTGTGTTCACCTCCTATTCAAAATGCAGAAACCATTAATTTATATCCCTCACATGTGTTGGCTTCTTATTTTCATTCTATTGTTAAAGACACCAATGATTGTGATTCTGAAGAACTCCATGATTTCAATGTTCTTAGTATTCTGAGTATCGAAGCTTAGATTGGTTGAAGCTTTAAATCTCATTCACCTGGCAAGAAGCGCATAGAAAAAAATTACAGTCCCTCTTCAAGGTTCACTAGACAATAAGAAAGATGCTATAAATGACTATTTTTGTTATCTTCTCTTTAAGTAAAAGGATAATTTCTCCTACGCCATCATGTTATTTTTAATATTTAATTTTCATCTACTAATTCCAGATCATTTCTTCATGTTGTACTCGTTTTATTGCCTGGCTATAAAAGTTGCATTAACATGTCATGTAAGTAGCATCATTAATCTGGAAACTCTCAAACATAATAGTCAGTTGGAAATTGTCAGAGCCCACAAACACATATTTGGCATATAAGTTAGAATCACATTAGTGAGACGTAAATTCTCATAATGAGGAAATCTGGGGAATGCAAGACGTTGAAACTTTACTAGAATATATAAGAACATCTTTTAACATTTCACAATAGCATGGCAAGATATCAGGCAAAAGTGCAAGTTGCAATTAAATTAAAAGGTAGCTTAAGTTTACAACAAGAAATGATATTTTTCCTCTAGTTACCAATGAGAAATAATTAATGGTTCAGTTCCTAAAGATTATCCTTGGTGGCTAAAGTAAACATAATTTTGATGGTTTGAAATTGAATATCTAATATCCTCAAATTTAATAATGCTATAAAATAGGCTACAACAAAAAACATAATAATGATCAAACTGAGAAAATCAACAAGACACCTTCTCTCTTTCTCTTTCCATCCTCTTCTCTTCTTCATCCTTCTTCTTACGAGCCCGTTCCCTGCAATAAAAATCACAAAAGATGAATAAGAGGAACTTATTGCAATAAAATCACAAATATGCAAATACCACATCAAAAATACAATAACTCATTTATAATGACTCATCTGCTCAACATATCAAAAAATTAAAAAAAAAAAGGAAACTAACTTGAGTTTATTTTGACATAATTAATTGTTCCAACTATCTTAAACGAGGTTACAGAAAAAGGTCCACTAAATCCAGATATACAAGTACAAGCAAGAACCTTTGGTGACAAACAGGAAAATTGACAAGAACAAGGTGATAAAGTATGGTATCCTAAAAAACCCTGAAAAATGGGCAATATATTTATAGAGAAGTCAAACTAATTTGCCTATGTTTCATCATAGATAGATAAGTGTAAACAAGCTCTCTTATTGGACAAAAACATAAAGAAAATGATCCAGTTATTGATTAGTTTTAATATTAAGACATACATCAAACATTAAATGCAAACATATAAAAAAAGGTAAAATAAATCAAATGTACTCCAAATGGAAAACAACCAAATGTTCCTAGACAGCTTTGACAAGGGCTTGGGTGATCTATTATATATGTTTTCTATTTCATCAAATCAATGAGAAATATTCATTGTATTGTATCATCTTTCTAAATGAAAAATCAAACATCCACAACAAGATTGTCCAAGAAAGGAATGAAAGCTTCAGCAGATAATCTCCTGCCTCTAACCAGTTGTAGTTTCTCTGCCCATGCTTGGTCTTACACATTCTTCTGTTCAATTTTACCTCACACAAGTCTAGGCCAAGCCAAACCAGCCTTAGGTACCCACCTTCAACATAGGTCTAGGGTTTATTAACTAAAGCATTTTATAGTGCCCAATTCCAACATAGTGAGTGAGAACATTGTTGTAAAACTACTGCTTAAAGAATTAATAATGAAATTAATTTTTTGGAAATATTAAAAGCTAAAGCAAATATAGAAGCCTCAATCATACTTTAATTTTAATGTGATCCAATTCAATAAACAAATAATCTGTTCCAAAGGCTGAAATTGTGAGAATCTAAGAGCTTGTATTCTCGGAAATAGAAACCAAAACACAAACATAGACTCGCAGGCAGGAGACAGACAAACAAGGCAGCTTTGAATGGATAGTTGGTTAGTTTGGTAAATTATAAGTAGTAAGCAGTAGTAATCCTGCAAACAAATTAACATTCCTCAAGCTAAATTCATTCCCACTCCACTTAATTGTGCATAATATATTGGAGCTTCCCTTCTGAAAAATGATCAATATTACTAATAAATGTATTTTAAAAGAATCCCCGCACTTTAAAAATCTTAAGGTAAATGTGAGAGATCCAACCAAAAAGAAGATCCCAAACCTCTTCAGTAACTTTTAATAATTATTTGACTTACGCCACAGTAGCCACTCACATCATGACTCGGGACGAATGCTTGGAATTATCAAGATGGGAATAGACGATGATTTGATGAGATTCAATTTAAGTTATTATAACTAATAAATAATAATAATTAATAATGGAATTGAAAGAACCACTGACTAAAATTTAAATAAATCATAAAAGTAAATAGTTATGAATGTAATTATCTTCCTATAGTTTGGCCACTTCTTCTATAAACATTATCACTCTTTCACTAATTCTCTAGTCCAAGACATAGATATAAAAAATATTAGTTTAAGTTATCATAAGCTGTTAACAACTCAAAGAACACTCATATCTTTAAAATTACAGTAACATAAAGATAATAGAAAATAAAATGCATGCTTATCAAATACAATGAATCAATATAATGTCAATTGACAGTTTATTATTCAATTATAACCATAACAATCTATCACATTTTACGATATTATAACTTATCTATATCATTTTATAAATTGTCTCAAGAGTGTCGTCTAAAATGTATCATTTAAGATACATCAATATAGTTATTTTTTTCCCGCTAGCTGGGTACCTTAGTATTCTCAATTAGTGTTGTAAGGGAGTGGACTCCAGTAGTCAACATGCATGGACAAGTATTTTATATAGTTCATTTTATTTATATTTTTATATCATAAAATATATGCTTAAAATAATTAGTATGTGCAAATAAATTTAAGCATGTTAGAAGATATGTGAAATACATTTCAATATGATCAATACAACCTATAAAGCTGATAAATCATGATTAAAGTTGCAATGTTAATCTATCTGAATAAACAATAATATTGTCTAATGCTTCTAATTAGAAGAACACCATGTTATTGCTATAATTTAGAAATAAGAGTATCTCCTTCAATTTTTAATAACTACTGTTTGACTTTTCTTTACACCTTCCAACAAAGCATCTATATACATACAAAATATTTATATTAATATTTATTTAACTTTATCATTTAATAACACTTTTCTTTCATTTAAGTGTATTTAGCTAATCTTTTCAATTCTTGATTACATATATAAACTATAGTTATTATTTGTCAGTTAATCTAAATGCTCCTAATTTAATAAAATTATGCTTACTTTTTTCTTTATTTTATAATTATTATTTAAATTATATTAAATCATGATTGCTTTCATCTACTACAAATTGATTTCATTAACTATCTATGTCTTACTATATATCAATTTAAATAATTTAATTTTTATTGAATGAATTAACTATTATTGCTTATAGCCTTAACATAAAATTTTTCACAAATTAAGATATTCATAATAATTTTGAATGTGTTACTACATACTATTTTTCCTTGACAAGTCTAAGTTTATTTTCTAGATCCTTATCCTTTTGAATATTTACTATATTCTTATTTTATAATCTTAATCATTCTCTTTCTAAACATTAAAAAATTTCCTATATGTCAACAACATAAATTTATATCATTAATTCCTCAAAACCCTAAAATACATTTAATTTAAAAAAAATAAATTAAAATCAAATGTTTGCAAATTCACAAACTCATTTTAGATAGAATAAAATCTTGTCTAAACTTTCTTCTAAAATTTGCCTTCGACTACAATTTAATTTTAGGGTTTCAAATGTAATTTCAAGAAAAAAAACAAAAGTAAAATTTGAGAAGCTTGGGTTAACCTTGGGCCCTAGAGACGAAGGTCCAAATAATAATTATTTATCTCTTTCTTTCAGCTCTCTATCTCCACGCACCTCAATTCAACTCCTTTCAATTTTTCATTCGCATAGCTCCGATCATGTTCGTTAGGTTGACATAGCCCTCTCGACTTCATTGCCTTCACATGTGACTGCTCGAGCTCACATTCGGTTCAACACTCAAGCCCACCATCGCACAACTCATGAAAGCTGCCGGCACACGGATGTCTGCTAGTCTCCTATGGGTTCACTTTCGTTAGTTCAAGCCATAAGCCAACACCCACACTCCCTTCCTCCCTCCAAATCTCCCCATTTCTCTCTCTCCCTTGTCGTCCCCTCGATTTAGCATAGGGGATTCATCCCCTTTGGCTCAATCTCCCCTCTTAATAACATGGGAATAATTTTTATTTTTTTTTAACATACGATACAGAAGGAGCCGCCGAACCATTTCCAAATGACAAGGCTAAAGTTGCAAGAGTCATTTGAGCCTTATCTCATGTTGATATCGGGCAAAAATTGCAACATTTTATACTATGATGACAACATAAAATATGGTCTTTTTTTTTTTGGGTCAAATGCCTAAAATTGAAATCCCTAGAAAAACAAAAACTATCCATAAGCACCTTAGATAGGGATCTGTTTACACTCTACAAAAACATTGATAAAAAATTTGAATTGAGCACATTTATTTTAGTAGGATTTTTTTATTTTTTATTTTTTATTTTTAATGATAGATATTTTGCATACGACTATTTATGAAATGCCCATGAGAAGGGATGCTCCAACAGATATTTTTATTAGTGAATTAGCTGGTTTGACTCATAGTTGGATAGCTCAGTGAGGTGATAAGGTTCAAGATAATATTATCTATTTAGGGTTGTTTTTGGAATTATATGCCAACATTTGCTTGGACTTGTTTTTATTTTATTAAGTAAATCTATCTGCAATGGTTACCACTCCTGAAGAAGCCTTGGGTGTGTTCCCGTACATGATTTTCAGATACATGCTTTTAATAGCGGGTTTTGGAATTCCCTAATGAATTAAGCATATTCTATTACATGGATGTAGCTTAAGCATGTAAAACCTGCTATTCATTTTATCCTTTGAGATGAACTCAACCATTTATCCAGCCTATTCTCTCCAAGTAACTGTGTATTTGTTCGGATTTTTCTTCATTGCATGCTTATAGCTCCCATTTGCAACTTCTTCTGCAAGATTTTTGTTATCTATTTCCCATACCCAAGGAAACATACGAGCCCTAGCCAAGAGGAGAGTTTATAAATAATTATTTTGAGGTATGTGATAAAATAAATTCAATTAAATTTCTTCTTTCAATCTTGACTTTTCGGGCTTGCTGCTGGAGTTTATCAAATGCAATGCAAGTGTGATAAGAAAAAGGAAGTTTTTTTTCTGACGAGGGAGCTACCCAAAGGGACGTTGTTTCCGCTCCCTGCTGCAGCCTTTGTTTCTGCAATCTGCTGCAGTCCCGTGATGATGTTGGCCGCTTGGAATCAGCCAGCCATCCTAGGCGACTCCTCACTATCCTCTTATTATATATTTGTTTTTCAGATGCTCTAGGTTGAGTTTTTGGCGTGAGTTTGTTTAGGACAGCCGCCAGCGTTTGTTTTCACCTTTGAAAGTTGTATCCGAGGAATTGGGTTATGATCCGATTACATCTATCTCCCAAGTTGGTGTTTATCTTCCCTATTCTCCTTCCGTATCCCCCCACACTGCTCCTACCTGTTGTTCCTTGCTGCAGCCGCCCAGAACAGCCGCCAACAATGTACTTCCTGCAGTTCTACATTCCAGCCCAAGTTCCCTATGATTCCAGCATTCTCGCATGCTGCCATCTCTGCCCAGCCATCTCCCTTCCACAATCCCTGCTGTCCCCCTCATGCTGTTTTTGACAGCTCACAGATTTCCTGCAGCCGCATACTCGCTGCCATCGTCACTCCAGCCCTCCCCCGTTGCCCTCGCTGTCCCAACTTCACCATCGCTGCCGCAGCTGCAACACCTTCTTTTGCTGTTCTCCTGCTGTCCAGCAGTCCCAAACAGCAAACTGCCGCTGTTTGGATTGTCATCCCTTGCTGCCCTGTTGTTCTAGCCGCCCATAATCGCTGTCGTCCCCAATCCACAGTCCAGAAACCCCTTCCCTACCTTGCCACCGCCTCTCCAAGCCCCCTAACCATAACCACCATCACTCGGGATCTGCCCTTACATGAGTTTGTGTGTCGTGTGTTGAATTTTCCTTTTAAAGTGTGTTTGATTGTAACCGCTTATTCGCATTTAGTAATAATAATTATTTTCTATGGTGGTTTGAGTTAACTCCGGTATTATTATCACAATGGCGAGAAGCCTGAAACGTTCTTGTTTTTAAGATTTCTTTCTTTTATCATTTTCTTCTTAGATATTTAATAAAACAGTGTTGCAAGAGTTCAGATGTTGATATATTTACTACAATTGGAAGTTTAATTATCATGCAAAATTCAATTAACCATTATTATGACATGAATTTCTTCGAATTGATCGATCGTTATCATTTAGTTCTGGTTTTATGCATTTTTAAGTTTACACATGAAGAAAGTTATTATTTGAGTAATTAGTGGTCCGTGATTTGTGAATTATAATATCTTTGTATTATATACATTCATTTCATCATTTTAATAGTTACCCTAAGACCTTAAGCATCCTACATCAATCTTAAGTACTTTGACCTCAATTTAATATTGATTCAAAACAAATGCTAGAAAATCAAAGAAAGCTTATACTAAAATATTTATCATGCTACACCAGAAAACTTCAAATAACGAGTTGGAAAAAAAAACGATAGTTAGACTTTTAAACTACATATACTAAGTTTAAATATTCTTAAGATACCAAAATTCAATACAACCAAAATGATCCAATATCATAAAAGAGCAAGTACCACAAATTTTATTCTAAAATAAAAAAGGAGTTTCCAGCGTATGTTTCTGCCTTAATAATTTCAAGCTTTTATGTTGCGTCAAGACTATATATATATATATATATATAAGAGACAAGTTGTATTAAATAATACTAATTGTGATGGAAGAGTCAATAGGATAATTAATGTGAAATTCTCATAAAAAAAAGGTTACATGGTTAGACTCAATGAAGTAATGTTATCCTATATATCTCAAGCTGGATACTCCATAGTTGATGAGAGATGAAAATTTGGTGGGAGATGAAATACTGCCCATGTTATTATGAATACCAATACACTTACTCGATTGTTAACGAAAGTGACAAAAATGATCATAGATTTAAGATCTCAATCTCGTAGAAGTAACAATAGTTTATGATTTGCAACCACACTTATTTACAGAAATTGAAAGACCAATTAAAATAAAAAACAAGCTACATATTGAAAAGATGCTTGATAGTATATCCTATCTCAATGAAATTCATGTTAGATGGAGAAGCGAAAGTGGTGGAGGGCAACATCAGAACAAATTGAGGGACACGCCCAACATTTTGCTTAATTCAGAAGACGCTGTAGAACTTTTCAAAGAATGATTATACTACTTTCTGCACAAAGTTAAATGTAAAATTAATTTATAAGATTGATACAATGAGAGAAATGTATACGAGACATAAGGGTAGAATTACAGTAATATCAAGACATGCATCACAATTGATTTCAAATGGAGAAGAAAAAATGCCATCAATTCTTATAAGTTAAAAGATACAATCAAACAACTTTTAATATCGTTAATGACTAACAATTATCCAATACTATTGGAGACGGGAGAGGGCCAGAAAAAAACACCGTTTCAAATCGCTCAGAAGCATAGAAATTTAAATAAAACGAAGACCGCTAATGAAGGAGAACATACCCTTTGATCAGAAGATTTAAATTAGAAGCAGCCTAAGGCAAATACTACTTCGGTAGTGATAAGGCCAGTTATTACTAGCGTTAGGCATATAACACTTATTACTAGTGCTATCAATCTGGGCATAAAACACTTATTACTAGTGTTATCAATCTGGGCATATAATAGAATATTGCCTTATACTTGGTTAGAAAGCTTCAAATGAATTGAAATCAAGTAGAATTTGTTTACATAAAATGTGAATGAAATGAACTATATAAAATTGCACCCATGCGAATGTTGACTGATGAAATTCGCCCTTTTATATTACCACTTGGATATGCTAAAATACCCACGCATAAAATTGAAAATGGATATTAATATTAAATTGCCTTAAATAGTACAATTTAAATGATATTGCTGAAATAAGAAAATAGTTATAAAAATAACAGTAAAATAAATAAGAAACTAATTTGCTGTGTCGATTCAAATTCGACTGATATCAATTAAAGGATGGATGAAAGTTTTAAATGTGATTGTTCAAGTGAGAGCGGAGATGGAGATGGAAGAAAGGAGAGACTCATATCACGTGTAGTAGGGAAGGAATAAAGAGCAGGAGATGGGGTTTCCATACCAAGGGGCAACACACATGAGAGGTGAAGCACCTTTGGGCCGAATGACTAGCATGTGAGTGCTAGAAATGGTGTGGTTAACCAAAAAGATGAGCGGAGACTCCACTTTCAAAGATTCAAGAACACGATGTCTCGCAATTGAAAGAGACGGATACCACATACATCAGTATTGGTGAGGAACCAACAGTGATGACATGCAATAAATGTGCGGAAGACATGAGAATGACTCAAGTAGGGACGAGCTAAACCAAATATGATTTCGATGGTTTGCCAAGTAAATGAATCAGAAGGTTGAAAGTAATTGTTGAGTTCAAAAGAAAAGAAAGAGAGCAATCGAGGATCTTGATTGGAGAACAACAACAGGTTGTAGAAGTGATTGAAGAAATGATCAATTAATGGTGTTAATGAGATTTGAAAAAGAATAAGATAGGACGCTAAAGAAAATGAAGATTGAAAGCTAAGTGACAAGATAAATCAATTAAAGATCGAGTGAGTAATTGTATTTTTAGTTATACTATATGTAGTTCTCTTAAGTATAAAATCAGTTTTGAAATTAATTGAAATTATATTTGAATTTTTTAACTCATTGCAGGCGTTAAAAAAATTATTGAACATTCAGATTTAGTATAATCATATAAACAATGCAACATATTTTTAATAATATCCATGCATTGCATTCACACTGAAACGATTAATGCATATTTCAGTTAACTAAAAAAAAGTAGATGAAAAGCAAGTGAAATATAAGTTTAAGTCAATCATTATCGTCATCCACTTATGGTATTAATTGGGGACACTACTGTAACTTATACCCATACAAGAAAATAAAAATGAAAAAAGTTGGGAAAAAAATGATTGTACATTAATTGGTACAATATTTTAGATAGAGCTCCTGTGAATGCTTCTTAAATTAAATGTGTTTAAAAATTCTATAGAGTTTCCAATTAAAGAAAATAAAATTATTAAAAACAGTCTTAATAAAAAATAATTTTGATGTTTACAATATTTTAGATAGAGCTCCTGTGAATGCTTCTTAAATTAAATGTGTTTAAAATTCTATAGAGTTTCCAATTAAAGAAAATAAAATTATTAAAAACAGTCTTAATAAAAAAATAATTTTGATGTTTTAACATTTTTAAACCACCTACATGTTAAAACAAAGGCATAAAAGCTTATAACATAGAGAAACTGTAATTATTCACTCAGTTGTATAATACCTATTGAATAAATATTTAATTCAAGTAAAACTACTTTGAATTAAAATGACAAACAAGAAAGACTATGTTCATAGAAATATGCGAGCAAATGAAAATAGGTATCAGACAGTAATATTTTTGTGTTTAGTTTCTTTTTTTTACTAGTACTGCTATAAGCTGGATCTCCTTGTATTTGATTAAAGTAGATTCCCGTGGTTTAGAGATTTTTTACTATTTGGATGTTCTTGTAAGTCTTTATATATTGTTAAATTAATATATCTTAATTGTTCGACCGTTTGTTCACTGCTTGAAAATTCTAAACTTCATAGCTAGGTTGTGACTATTATTTATGACGGATATAATATATAAAAATGAATCAAATAAAAATAAGATATGAAATAATTTTTTATTCGTGTTATTAAATATACAAAACCTTTAACATTGACATCCTTGAATAAAACGATATGTCAAATGATTTTACACCAATTTATTTAATTTAACATATACACATGTTGCCTTCTAATTCAATTATATTACTATAACATAGAATGGTAATGTATGCACTAAGTTATTTTGATATCCCATCAATATATTTAATCATATTTCAAACGCAAGATCTTGAAAATTGAAAGAGTAGGAGGAAAAAAACTGTATATCATAGAAGTAAAACTACAAAAAAAAGGTGATATTTTTATTATTATATTTGTTAAATTTTTAGTTTAGAATAATTTTATAGATTAATGCCTCTTTTGTTGAGTAGGATACGGACATATTAAGAATGTCTATGAACTTTAATTTTGATATTGGCCTTAGAGTTGGTGAATATAATTTACAAATCCCGTCCAACCATTTGTTCTCATATTGATAATTTCAAGCTCTTAAGCCAGATAATAATAATAATAATAATAATAATAATAATAATAATAATAATAAAAACAACATGCATATATTGAAAACGCTATTGCAACTAATCTAATCAAATTTTGCTGCTATAATGGGCATGTTGTTCGAAGGTAAAACAGGTACTTGGTTGAATGGCCACAATTAAAAATTAAACTCGGCAAATTCATTATATGGCGGACTTCAACCAACCAATCATAAAATTAAAAAATGCAAATCTAGGTTCTAAAAAATAAACAAATAAAAACTAACGCTACTGTAACCAACCTTACAACAAAAAAACATAATATAAAAGAAGCAAACCTGAGCTCTTCAGCTTTAATCTTAATTTCCTCTGCAGTCAAAGTTTTCTTGCTGGTTTCTGCAGAGCTATTAATGGAGACCTGAAAGTTCCCGAGAAAATGAGGCGTTAGAAACTTAAATTTAAGGAAATCTACCAATAACTACTAGGAATATACATAGGCAAGTACAACACAGAGATATTGTAATTGTACTACCAAAACAAGTACCAAATTAATAAAGGTTGATGCCAGCCTATCACAAACATGAGGCGTGAAAACAATGAAAAAAAAAGCACCTGCAACGTATCTCAGTATATTTACAGACCCCGATGGATAACTCTTAGTGATGATGAAAATCTGAAAGCCATCTATGCTGCATGATCTAAGAAGTCTAACCATAGAATACGTGACGAGCATTCATGGAAACATTAAAAATTCAACATTTACTAAGCAACAAAAGCAGTGGTGGATCTAGGTTAAGCCTAGAGAGAGCAATTGCCCACCCTAGAATACGAGATTTCTTGATAAATAATAGAAACTTTAATATTTTTCTATATAATTTGGAAAATTAAACAATTTTTTTCATCTCAATAGTTATTTTGCCCAGAACCTAGAAATAAATTTGCTCACCATTAAGGTTGAAGCTGATTCAGTCCTAATTAAAAGAGAAAATTAAACAAAAAAAAGACTCATAAGTGAGGCAAATCAAGCGGAAAAGAATAACCCAGCACAGAGTTTGATCCCTAAATATAGGAACGCATGCATGATATCACAAAGAAAAAAGTATAAAAATGATGTGAGCTTGCTTTCAGTTCGGTAATATTAGGAAGAGAATGATTCATTTAGTACATTTTATTTTGACTAAATTCAACACGGATCATGGAAGATTGAGAAAGCAAAATGAAAAAGAAATGAAGCTTGAGCAAACATAGAGATGCATCATCAATTTTATCACAGCTCAATTCCAGTTGTCCTACCATAAAAAAATGCCCTTTTTTGGTTTAAAGAATCATAGGAACGAGAACCAATAGAAGAACATGCAAGTATCAACTTTAAAAATAGCCATAGCAATTGAAAGTGACCTGAAACTTCTCATTTCTATTAAAGGAGAAAGCTTCAGAAGACCTGCTATCAGAACTTGCTACCATTCAAAAATAGTAGTAGATTCCACAGCACTGCATGTAGACTTTACTTTGTATATGATTCATCTCTCCAAACTACATAGAAATTTTAAACAACCCCTAGCATCAAATTTATGGAAGCAACCTACGCAAAGCTTAGCGCAGATCCATGGAAAAAAACATTAATGGCTGCATTTTTTATCTCAAAGGATTGAATCATTAAAAACAAAGCAGAAAATGAACAATTATATTCTGCACCTCACAGTATATCGAGAATTCCTTCAAAGCGTTGGTGGTACAAAAAATATGCCATTCTCACAAAACTAATAATAGCCTTCCTCATTGCCTCCAACAAAGTTATTTAGGAAAGAGAATAAAACTCTGCGTGAGTTATAAAAGCTCAGAGAAAACATCACTGCATTAGTATAATTCTCTACCGCACAAAATCCTAAACAAGTGAAAACGAGGACTACTTTAGAGCTAACAATATTACTGAAGTGCATCAAAAAAATCAATAAAAACATGGCAACACCTACATTTCTAAAAGGAAAAAAAGAAAAATACCAAAGGCATCTGATCAACATCCGGGTCATCTTCATGGTCAGCAACCCAATTAATTGCAGCCTCAATGCTACTATTACCTGCAAGCATAAATCTCAAATATTATGAATGGGTATATCAATAAAACATTGTTGTTATAAGAAAACCATTCAGTTTGATCTCAAGCATAAAAAAATTATACCATACTGTGATTTTATAAGCATAAGTACATGCATGAATACACATCCACCCCAATCAATTACCATAAGGATTTAAGGCGCAACATGTATAGGAAGTACTGATTTTGCAATGCAACTCCAAAATTAATTTGTTGGTTTAATGACATTTTGCTCAATTTCCACACAAAAACATGCTTTTAATATAGTGGGGAACACTGAATCGATTATGTTCTTACTTGCCAAGATTTGGATCTACTTCTTTCCTTAAAATCTGGATGCATGTCTATTTAAGAAACTGCTAAACCAAAATAATGCGTTAATGTCATTTTGCAATGTCACTCTAAGAATAATTTATTGTTTTAATCTCACTTTGTTCAAAGTCCACGGATGACTATGCTTCTAGTAGAGCGGGGAACAGCACATTAATTATGCTCTAACTTGCCAAGATTTGGCTCAACTTCTTCACTGAAAATCTGAATGCATGTCTATTTATGAAACAGTCAATTCAAAATTAAGGGGGCAGCGGCGGTGGCGGCGGGAGTGGTGTGTAGGAAGTTGGGTGGCAGCAGTAGGAGAAGGGCAGCAGCAATCAATGATAAGAAGAATACATATCACCTCGGGGCGAGTTACAGCCGGATCACCTTCTCGTTATTGAATATAGCTCTAGAAAGATAAAAGGGACAAAAAGAGTATCCTGACAGAAATCTCAAAGTAAAAACTGAGCCCTAATAAAACTAACATAATATATGTGTGTGTATATATATATAAAAGTTTTAAATGTGATATATATATATATATAGTAGATAACTTGGTGGGGTAGGCCCCTCCTCTTAAGCGGCAACCCTAACCTATGGGTCAGAAGGCCTTTCCTTCTCTTAGTTGAACTAGTTTGGCAGGGTACAGCTGGTACAACCCCTCTACCCCCCGCCCACACACCCTCCCCCCCCCCCCACCGAGGACGCGCGTTATTATCCCAAGTTGGGGGAGCTTCGACCTCATTTATCGAAGCTTCTATCAAACCATTGCCAGTGGTGGTGATGTTGTAACATTTTGGTGCTGAAGGGTGTACTACGGTCTGAAAAGCACCCGGGTCCCATTAGCAACTACACTGTCTCCAAACACATGAAAATTTTCCTCCAATCGCAAGCATACATCTATTGATCCACTCCTCTGGGGGTCACTACTGAACTGAATTGAGTCTACAAGTCTCGCATATGCATACGTTGTTGAATCCTCACAAATTAATCCACGATCAACTCAACCTGATTTGGAGTGAGGGTAACCTAAACCTCCTCGAACAATGGTGGTCATGGTGGTAAGAAATTGACTGTGATGTCCTGAAATACTCTCTATCATGACTGTCCCATGTTTGGAGCCGGTGTCTCGGTCCTATAATTCTCTATCGTCACCAAAACTAGTCCCATCGACGTTGCTCTGCTGGCAAGGGCAAGTAAATGTGAAATTGGGCTCAGCCGAAGGAAGAAGGATGATGTGCTTTCCCTCTTTAGTAAAGGAGTAGGTGTTTGTGAATCTGTCGTGTTGAGTCCCACGATCAAATTGTCACAGTCTCCCTAACAAAAAGTGCAAACATCCATAGGTACCACGTCGCACTACACATGATCCTACAGCAGTCTCTCAATCAAAAACTCCACTAGACATCTCAAGTCAATATTTGACCCTATTCTCCTTCAGCCACATCAAATAATACAGCTAGGCATGTCTCTGAGTCATTAGGCCCAATTTCTCAACCATCTGTGTAGACGACACGTTCTTGTTGCTCTCTCCATCGATCATAAGACTACAAAAATTCCTATTCACTGTGCAATGGAAGTAAATTATATTGTGATTGAGCCACTGTAGATCCTTTGTATCCTCAATGTGTAGGACCCGTCAAATCATGAGCATCTCACCCTTATCCAGTGGACGATAATACACCCTGCCCTATTCTCCAACTATCTCCTTGTCGCTAACCTCTTTCACTACGCCCTGCTCAATAAAAGACAGCTCAGCTCGTCGGGTAGTTAGATGTGATGTGCCCAAATCCATGCCATCTGAAGCAATTTCTTGAGAGAATGTAGTAAGTGTGCTACTCTTCTCAAGCTTCTTCTCACTCAATGTTGCTTAGTCATTATCCGAACCAATTTTCTAAACTTCTTGTGGCAAAAATGGTTGTTCGACGGGTGGTGGTATCCTGTTCTGTTTCAGTCGCCTCTCCACCTTTAGGGCTAAAGTCTTGACATCTCACAGGATTTAATACGGTTTGCATTTGCATAATGTTGTTGATAGCAGGTTTCAAATCGCATAGATATTGGGCTATGGAATGTTCCTCTGACTCAATCAACTCACATTTCATCTGCAACTGGTCGAACTATGTTGTGAACTCCTCTACCACTAGATATCTCTGTTGTGGGTGGTGGAGTCTCAGAAACATATCCTGTCGGTAATTAGGTAAGTATTTTCTCTACATCGTCTTCCCCATCTTCTCCCACTTGGTAATCCTCTCACCATCTTCTCTCTTCCTCTGACTCTACAAGTATTCCCACCACAAAGAGACATTTTCTCAATTTGATGGTCACCAATCTTACCATTTTATCTTCTAGCACATTGTTGTACTCAAAGATCCTCTCAACTAACTGCAATCATTCGATGAAGTTGTCGGGATCCATACCTCCATCAAACTCTGGTAAATCCACCAATATTTTGAAGTGCATGTGTCCTTACGTGTAACCTCCTCTCTCGGCCACCTCTGATATTGGATTCCAAAGCGTCATGGCTCGTCTTCTTCATCACCAAAATTCTTCTTATGGAAGTGGTTTGAAATTCTCGTTTCTTTAGCCCCTTCAACTTTCCCTATCATGATCGAGGGTAACTTCCCCCAGGTTTTTATCCTCAATGTCTGTAAGCCTTCATTGAAGTCGATGGATCTTTCGCTATATCTCTTCTCGGGTAAGCTCGGGCGTGCATCTCCTTGGTGGCATGGCTAAGATTTAGGTTAGGGGGGTGGAAGAGGGTGTATGAGACAAATTGAAGGTGTAGGAAGATTAATTTTGGGTTACTGATTTTAAAACTAAAGGGAAAATTTATGGCTAGGTCAAAATTTGTCCATGGTTTGGGAATAGGAAAGAACATTATTTGGGTGGATATAGCTTAGGTAGGGGCCCGAAAATATGACTAAGGTTAGACTAGCTCTGATACCAATTAACACTAGCGTTAAACCAAAATCCAATAGGAAAACAAATTTTATTTACACCAAACGCAACCGGGTTGCAATGACGACTCAAAACAAGAAAGAAAACACAACACAGCAATAATATCCTGCTAGGGTAAGGCTGGATAGCATGTGGAACAGCGGCGAGGGGGCATGGGGTAGGAGACAGCAAGCGGAATTGGTGTCAGAATATAGTGGGGGTGAGCTGTCAGTATGGATGAGGGGTTAGGTTGGAGGAGGGAGATGGCTGGAAAGTTGGGCGAAGACAGATTAAGGGCAGGGAAAGGTTCGCGGCATGTTGGAAGGTTGGTAGGGAGCAGGTTATGGTAGGAGCGATGGCTAGGAGGGAGAAACGGGCTGCTAGAGAGGGCTACGGGCTTAGGGGAAGGTTGGGCATAAAATCTAGACAAAGGGGAGCAGCAAAAGGTGATGCGCAGGAAGATGGGCAGCAGCAGCAACAGCAAAGAGGAGGGCAGTAGCAAGCAATAAAATGAATAATACTCAACACCTTGAGATGAGTTGTAGTCAAAGCACGTTCTCGCAGTCGGATGCAGCCATAAAAAGGAAAAAGGGACGCTAGAGTTTGTCCTGACAGAAAGCTCAAAAAAAGAACTGAACCCTAATTACATAACATAACATATATATAGAAGATAACTAGGACGAAGAAACCCCTCCTCTCGGGCGGAAACCCTAATCCATACATATGAACCGGCAAGCCCTTCCCTTCTCTTAGCTGAAACGGTTAGCCCCACATCATGAACTAAACTACACGACCTTCTTAAATAAAAAAGAGATCATTATTATAGAATTGATTGGATAAATTCTTTCATACATCATGAACTAAACTTCCCGGCCTTCCTAAATAGCAAGTTTTTAATAAAATGCTCACAAAATTGGGGACCTCAAATGATCTGCGAGGCGAGTTTAATATGAAAAGTCTCATCATACTTTTTACAAAAGTGCGGGTATATGATGTCCAATTCAATCAAATTACATGGTAAATTTTCAATCTTTTGTGAACTTGTAAGTCATCATATAAATATCACTGAATTTATAAAAATAAAGAACAAAAAAAAATCCCATGACATTTAGAAAAGAAACATTATGTCCATATCTACTCTAAATACACAGTTGCCAAGACTTTGAGAACTTAACTCAATCTCATGCCAGATTGGTCTAAGAAACTGAGCTCATTGTCAAACATAAAACACAAAAACATCATTTTTTAACTAAGAGAAAATGAACATAATTCCACCCAAAAGTATAGCCAAAAAATATGCATCTAAGGGGATACAAGGAGTGAAGCACTAACACAAAATCCAATGACGGAAATTACTTTCACAAATAGAGCAAAACAAGCCTATTGTTATTCATGATGGTAAATTAAAAAATAAGATGTACTAGTTTTTCATTCAAGCTCCCCTAAAAAATTGAAAGGTCAATTATCAACAAAAAAAAATCAATGGCCAAAAATGTGAATAATGTTAATATCTAAGATAACAATGAAAAATCAGTGACAGCTCAATCACCAAAAGAAGAATATTAATGGCATCTCAATCAATAAAAGGAAACTAAACAGATTTGCAATTTTAACAATCTCACCAGAATAATGAAGCGCCCTTGTAGCCCGGGCAGTAGCAAAACCCATTAATTCAAGCTCCTCCAGAAGTCTCTTATCAACCTCTGGGATTATCATCTCTAAAGAAAATGAATAAAACTCAGAGTATAGTTGGCATGACAACATTTTTAAAAAGGGAAAAAAATCAAGATGTGGACACAATATTTCAGCAGGACAGTGCAGAAGCAAGGAACTGTTCTTGTAGTCTAGTAGTACGGGGATGGCATTATATCAATTCCAAAACATGGATTCTACAGTTGACCTCATATCACATACATTCTAGTTGATGATAATTCCCAAAAATTCAAGCATGCAATCTCTAAAAACAGTAAAAGAGTAGGTCCAACTTTGAAATGCTTTAATGGATATTATCTTATGAACGCTTTAGAAAAGGGAGATTAGTTGGCATGCATATTTGAATCATTTCAATCATGTGTAAGATGGCACATGAATCTAATAAGGCATAACCTAACATCTGCTAATATAACATTCTACATTTTCCCCTAATAATATATTAGATGGCTCTGGTAATCATATATGAAATGATTTACAATTGATAATATTACAAGTAAAATTTTATTGAGGCAATAGTCTTACTAAGATTTTTAATGTTATTAGTGTTTATGCTCCTCAAGTAGGTTTAGATATAGGTTCAAAAGAAAAATTCTGGAATGGTCTGGAAGAATTAATACAAATGATATCACTTGAAAAAAGAATTTTTATTGGAGGAGATTTAAATAGACATGTTGATAGAGTTGTAGAAAATTTTAGAAATATTCATAGTGGCTAAGGTTTTGGAGTGATTAATGAAGAGGATAGAAACATATTAGATTTTGCTTTAATGTATGATTTTGTTATTCCTAATGTTTTAATTAAGAAAAGAGATGAGCATATTATTACTTAAAAGAATAAATCTAATATAATACAAATTGATTATTTTGTTATGAGAAAAAGAGATCGTCGAGAATGTAAAGATTGTAAGGTCATTCCAATTGAAAATTTAAATATACACATCGACTAATAGTTCTAAATTTTAAGATGAAGAGTTGTAAGATAAAGAATGCAAGGAAACATTATCATATAATTAAATGGGGGCACCTAAAAAACATAAAAAAAATTATTTTTATGAAAAAATTTCCAATATTTAATAATATTTAATATTTGGGATGTTCATGAAGAAACAAATTCTATGTAGGATAACAATATTTAATATTTGGGACGTTCATGAAGAAACAAATTCTATGTAGGATAAAATAATAAGTACTATTAAATAAATGGCAAAGGAGGTACTTTGAAAATCAAAAGAAAATGTTGTTATAAATAAAATGGTTGGTGGTAAGATAATAATGTATAAAAAAAGATAAAAGATAAAAGAAGTTGTGTTATAAAAATTAGTTTAAAAGTAAAAGTTTAAAAAAACTAGGAAAAATATAAGGTGGCCCGTAAGGAGTCCTTGAAATAATTTGTGATGCTAAAGCTTCTACTTTTAGTGTCTTTATAATAGATTATATACTAAAAAGCATGAAAAATATAGGGATAAACCAGCCAAACAAAGAGGAAAGAAAAGTAAAAATTTAATTCAAATAAAGTGTATTGAAGATGAAAATTAAAAAGAGCTTTTTTTAGAGGAAGCTATTCAACATAGGTAGGTGAGCTATTTTGATAAACTTTTCAATGAAGTTTCTGAAAATACAACCGAACTTATTGATCTTAATATCGTTAATAATAATAAAACGATTTATTTTTAGCATCATATTAGTTTAAAAAAAGTTGATGAAACTTTAAACAAAACTAAAGGTGGAAAATCAGTAGGACCTGACGATATCTCAATTGAAATGTGAAAATATTTAGGAGATTTAGGAGTTTCTTGGCTTATAAAACTCTTTAATATTATTTTAAAAACTAAAAAGATGTCTGTGCGAAGGAAGAGTATTTTGGTCTTTTTTTAAAGAATAAAGGGGATGCACGAAAGTGTGCAAATTCTATAGGAATTAAGTTGGTATGTCATACTTTAAAATTATGGGAAAGTGTAACGGAACATAGGTTAACATTACAAAGATTTCTCAAAATCAGTTTAGAATTATGTCGGGCAAGTCAACAATGGATGCTATACTTTTATTTAGAGGTTTGATGGAAAAGTACGGAGAGAATAAGGAGAATCTACAAATGATTTTTATTGATTTAGAAAAAGCTTACGATAAGGTTCCAAGATAAGTCCTTTGGAGAGTTCTAGAGAAAAAATGTGTTTATATGACTTATATTCAAGTCATTAAAGATATGTATACCAGAGTTGTTACTTGTGTTCGACCAGGAGGATTAACCAAGTATTTTCCTATTTCAGTTGGATTACATCAGAGATCGGCTTTAAGCCCGTATCTTTTTTCTTTTGTCATGGATGCTCGTACTGGACATTAACAGAAGGATGCAACTTGGTGTATGTTTTTCACTTATGATATCATATCCTTCTTATGGATAAGACTAGAGAAAGAGTTCAAGAAAAACTTGAATTATGGAGATTTATTTTGGAGTCTAAAAGTCTTTATTTGAGTAGATTTAAAATTGAACGCATGAAATGTAATTTCAGTAGTGGTAGCTCTAGTGGAAGAGTTATAACTATAAGTGATACATTCATTAAAAAGTGTGAACGTTTTAGATATCTCGAGTCCATTGTTCAAAGTGATGGTGATATAGATAAGGATGTTATCAGTAGAATTCAAGTTGGTTGAAGTTGAGAAATGCACAGGGCCTATTGTGTGATAGAAAAGTACTCCTTACACTGAAAGGAAAATTTTATAAGATGGTGGTGGTGTGACCTGCTATGCTCTATGGCGCAGAATGTTGGTCTTTAAAAGAGAAGCAAAAAACAAAGTTAAGTGGTGTTGAGATGAGAATGCATAGCTGGATGAGTGACTCAACACTTTTGAGACAAAATGTGAAATGAATATATTAGTGATAGGGTTGGTGTAGCTCTAGTAGCAGACAAAGTTAGAGAGAATCGTCTTAGATGGTTTGGTCACATTAAACGTCGACCATCTGATGATCCGGGTAACAGAGTAAATGTTTTGGATTCGACTTATGTTAAGGCAGAGATTGACCTAAAAAAACTTGGGCATATTGTATAAAATATGATTTTAGTTTAATAGAATTCAATGAAAATATGACACTCAATAGGCACAATGGAGAAAAAGGATTCGTGTAGCCCACCCCACTTAGTCGGATAAAGACTTGTTGTTGTAATAGTTAAACACATTCCATCTCTCTTTATTATTATGTGTATGATTGCTCGGAAAAAATCAGCTCCTCCTGAGAGCCTCCTCAATACAAAAGAGAACTAGAGATTTTTTTCTTTTTAACGTAGATTATGTTTGTTTTAGCCATATTTTTATTAACGTTGGGCAAATTTTTATTTATTTATAAAGTTGAGGCTTCCTATGGCATAAGCTCACAAAGATAGTTATGGCTCTCGCTCACAGGAGAACAGTCTCGAATACGAAAGCTACTTAAACATGTATTTTATTCTCAAATTTTGGAGTTAGATGTGAATTTCATTACCCCCACTTCAAGAAAAATAACAGAAGTGCTAACCCAACATGAGTATGCATTCAATAAAAAAAGATCAAATTATCATCAAAATAATGTTTTTGGTTTACTGTAAATTTAAATCTAACTATAAAAAATTAAACAATCCACAAAAATACCCCTATTTTTATCATTGTACAAATGATAAATGAGTTTTATTTCCATTTTAATTAAAAAATTATATGTTAATTCAACAACAGTTTGGATAAAAATTCAATAATTCAAAATAAAAAATATAAAACTTACTGAAATAAGAATTGTTAAATTTAGTGTAAATCTAACTCCCGAAAAATTAGCCATGTCGATTTTATATAATAATTTAAAACATTATTGTATAAAAAATTAGCAAAAAAATAAAATACAAAATACAGAAAAAATTATTTGACCTCATCTAATTCACTTGAACCAAACACAAAATTAGGTTCTTTGCTCATTTTACCAAAGCAAACAGACAGAAAAAAACTGGGACTTGCAATAGAAAAAGGAGATCGTGATCTACTTCCACATATTGCCTTATCTCCCCATTTGAAACTGGTCCAGGATTCCAAGATGACGTGTAAAGATCGAGGAAGGGATTGAGGAAGCTGTGGGATGATAGCAAAGTGCAGAAAACTGAGATGCAAATAGGGATTTGGGAAGGAAACAAAGTGATAGTTGCTATTTTGTGGAACAAAACAGCGAGGAAGCAAAGCCGGCACTTGTACAATCGTGGACGGCTGCGGTCCTAGATGAAAACAACAAAAAAATGTCGTCAATGGAGGCTGTCCTGAAACAGCAAGACCATGTCGTGCGAGGTACAAAATCCAAGAATTATCCACCACATATTCTCCAATCAAGTTACAGGCACGCCACTTGAGAAGAGAAGAATTCAGCACTACTAAGATGAGAAGTCTAAGGGAATAACAAACTAGTACAAAATAACAAGAACAAGTTGTCCAAACAGTCCAAAGCAAACAATTATATAACATAAAGCACATAGCAACCCAAAATCAAATTAAACCAAACATGAAAAGAACCTGAGGGCCAGCAATCCACCCAAAGGGTGAATCTACCAGATTGGATCGTTCCCACATCTATCACAAACACTTCTGTGTCATTCTCCCCTAGTGAGAAGAACTTCTTTATCTTTGAAAGTTATTGAATCCTCGTAGTACTACGACAAATCAACAATATTAAATGAAACAAATATTATAATCTTTTGGCAGATCAATTTTATAAACATTATAATTAATCTTCTTGATGACTCTGAAAGAATCATCTTCTTTGTGCTTGAGCTTTCTAAATGAACATCGAAAAAATCACTCCTTCCTCGGTTTGATTCACACAAAGTCACCATGCTCGAAGACCATAGCATTTATGACTTGTTAGCCTATTTTTCATAGTATTCAACTTTGCAATTTCCATCCTGGCTTGCTCATGTAAGGTCTCAATTTTTCCGAATCTAGCCTCAGCATCAGCGCTATGATAAATTGCGAGGATTATTGACAATGGCGATTTTTTC